GAATTGAACTCGCTTGCCAGGCAGGCGCTGTGCTGCTGAGCTGCATCCCTGGCCCCCAAGGTCCTCCTTGTTGACGGTGACAAGTGCTGGACAAATCCACTGGAAGTAGCTGTGGTGGTGAAGAGTGGGAAGAGGCCTGTGACACAATGAACCCGCCAGAGTCGGTATTCTTGTGTGTTGTTAGGACCCGGCTGGAAGCAGCGTGACTCAGGTGCCTCTTCTGCTTTATTGCGAGATTCATAGCAGCTGTTCCGAGAAGCCCCAGAATATTGTCAAGAGGAAAGATCTGGAAAAAGCCAAGGAGGGTGCTGTGCTCCTGCACAGGAAGCTCAGTGTGTATTATAGGGATGTCATTTTCTTCAAGTTAACGCACAAATTTCATGAAACACGCAGTGGATGTTCTGCAAACTGGAAACAGTCGGGTTTATCTGAGAGAGTAAGTGCGAGCACTTTAAAAGGGGATGCCTTTTAAAGGCTGCTCAGGTAGCCCTGCCGGCCTCCCAGCCTCCCAGCTTACGTCACCGAGTTGAGAAACACTGGCTGTCGCTGAGAGTTTGAGCTCTGCGTCCCCACTCCCGTCCTAGTGCTAGCGCTGAGCTCTGGGTGATGCAGGGAGACAGAACATCACCTCTCCCTGCTTAGCATCTCTGGCTGGACCCAAAATTCAGTTGACCTAAGGCACGTTCACAGGAGAAAAGCATGCAGATGTTTACGGGTACACGGGCACCCGCACAGGCAGGGAGGACCCCGGAAGCTGTAGAGCTGAGCCCTCTGTGCTGAGCCACGTGGAGAGAAGCAGCGCTGGGAAGGTGGGCGGAAGGGAGGCCTGCAGTGCTGTGGCGGGGCTGTCCACACCGACCTTTCCACCCGGCCTCACTGTCTCTGGTGATAAAAGTCTTTCCTTGTGGGACAGGGAAAGCCTGGGGGGCTTTGAGGAAGACCGGAGGTCGGGGCGCCCCTTTGCACCTGCTGTGCGTGAGTGCCGTTAGCTCCCCACAGTCCTGCTGCCCCGGTGCCATGTCCCCGGGTGGCCTGACCCTCGCTGGCTGCAGAAGAAAACCACAGCTCACCCTTGGCCCCCACCTCCGCCCGGGGCCTGCCTGGCGCCACGCTGAGCTTGCTCGTGCCCACAACCATGGGATTCTTTTCCCTGCTTTTATTTACTTTTTATTAGCTTCAATCCTGGAGGAGCTCAGCCTCCCACAGGTTCTGCGTCTGATGGCCTTGTAGGAAGGCTGCTTTGGAATTTGGCATGAACATGCCCCTATTTTCCTGGCCCAATTCCTTTTGCCAGTTGCCTGGTTTTGTTTGGTTCGTCCCTTGTATCCCAGTTACTCAGGAGGCTGAGGCAGAATTGCAGTTTGCGTTCAAGGCTGACATAGGTAACTTTGAGCGAAGCCCTACCACGATGGGAATTTTAAAAAGGGCTGGGGATGTGGCTTTGTGGTGGAGTGCTTGAGAAGGCCTGTGTTCAGTCAGCCTTCAGTGTTATAAAAAAAAAAGACGTAGATTTCTAAAACCATTTTAGAAAATAGTTTGGCATTGTGTCATGAAGTTGGAAACACGCACACCCTTATCAAGCAAGCCACCGATGATTGCGTAGTCTAGCGAATCAGGTGCCCGTGAGTACTGGGGTGCGTGTGATTATTCAGCGTTGTATTTTTTGTGGTACTGCTGGATGAAAAACAACCCAGACATCCACCAGCAGGAGACGGGGTGAGTAAATGGTGGCATTCGTTTGTATGGGAACTGTCAGCGCAGAGGCAAAACCTGTGCAGCATGCTGGTCTCACAGCAGAGTGCTGGGCGAAGAGCCAGACACAGGGCCAGAGTGCTGGGCGAAGAGCCAGACACAGGGCTCTCGGAACCAGCTGGCAGCACTGCCGTATGGACTTGGGGCTCAGTAACGTGGGGGGCAGGAGGCAGGGACCCCAAGGTGGGGCTTTCTGGCTCAGGTGATGGCTGCAGGTCCACTTCCTGTGTGTGTTAAACAGTGCGTTTATGTTTCCTGTGCTTTTCAGTGGGCGCCTTAGAAGGTTAAAGTATTTAATCAGAGACTGTTTTGTGCTTGAGAGGTCTGATTTGTCCCGTGTGGAGATGAATGTGTGGTCTGTGAGGATGTTTGGTAACGGAGTATTTCTAGATGAAGAGGACCGTAAGAATAATTATTGTTGACCTGAGCTGCTGTTTGTAACATGAAAGCAGGTAGCCTCAGTTTATGAAGAAAATGAGCTTTTCACAGCTTGCATGTACATCAGTTCCCGAGGTCCTGGGAGAGTGTTACTTAAAGCTGATGCTCACTGATTTATTACCTTCGGTCCCCTGTTAATCAGGCCTCTGTTTATTGGGTTTGCTGAGTGTAGGGCAGACCTGTGCTGCTGTGAAGTGTGGAGATCTGGTGACCGGTCAGGTGGCATCAGGGTTGGGGCTGTGGCAGAGTCCCAGGTCACGGTGGTGGATGCCCCTTGCTTGTGGCTGGCTCCTTGGAGAGGCTGCTTGGAGAGGCCTGGTGCCCCGTGCATGAGGCTTCTGAGACAGTGCTTGAGAGTATAGTCTGCTCTTCTCTGGAGCACTGCAGTTAAAACTTACACAAGCAAATCCCTAAGGTCAATAATGTCTATCTGATTTATAACAAGACTAAGTGTAAATTAAAAAACCACTGTAAACCCAAAGGCTTAGATTTCTGGGGTCAAGTGTATATAGTGAAAGACAAATAATGTATAGAGTAAAAGGCAGAAGTAAGTAATGGTTCACTGAAAAACTTTGGAAGCATTTTCTGTGTGTGTGTGTGTGTGTGTGTGTGTGTGTGCGCGCGTGCACGCGCGTAGCATGTGTGTGTATGGCGGCATCTCTAAAGGTGTGTGTGAGTGGCATGTGTGGTGTGTATGGCATGACAGCGTGTGTCAAGTGGCCAGCTGCAAACCAGCTGCTGCAGAGGCCTCCAGCCAGGGGCAGCTGTCACTGTCCGCAGCCTTCGGGCAGAGGAGGGCAGGGAGGGGTACACTGCATTAGGGCCTGGGGGACGGCGTTGTGCTGCTGGGGGTGCCGAGGCGGTGCAGCCAGGCAGGCAGGAGCTCCCTGTGCGCGGCATCATGAGCCTTTTGGGAAGGGAAAGTTGGGGGTTCATTTCATAGCCAAGGGTACCTGTATTTTTAAAAGGGAGACAGGGAGGGGGTGTGCACTGAGAAGACAGGGCTCGTCCCCCATCCGCAGCTGCATGGAGGAGGTCTTCTGCACGCGTTTCTTCAGTATGCATGGACGCCCCCAGGTGCCTCCAGTCTGGCTCCCAGTGGCTCCTCCTCCTCCAGGTGCGTTTGTGACCATGGGAGCGGCGCCTGTGTGTGAGGTACAGCTGCTCGCTCATAGTCCCCACTTGGCGTTCCTGCAGGCTACGCGTTGTCGATGCCATCTCACTGTGGGGAAGCTGAGGCATGGGGCGGCAGGGTCCTGGACCGCCGTGTTCCGCTTCCGCAGGCCGTGTTTTGTGTGAGGATAGACTTGCAGCACTTTTGCTCTTTGTTTCCCAAAATCAATATTTCCCGTGGCTGATTCCTGTGTGCCAGGCGGGCTCAGGCTCTGTCACCATGCTAACGTCTGTGCAGACAGGGCCGTGCTTCTCTGGAGGGCTGCGTCTGCACAGCCGAGCCTGTCTGCCGCCAGAGGGCCTGACCTGTGAAAGTCACCGCCTGACTGGCCACCTCCGCGCTGCCCTGGGGTTTCAGTGACCGCTTGAAAACTGGTAGAATTCTAATGTTTCCCAGCGAAGAGTTCCTGTGCCTTTAGGATGGTAATGAAAGTCTCTCTCGCTGTCACGATCCCAGCCCAAGGGTATCTTGATTGAATTTTTTTTTTTGGGTGCGGGAAGGAGCTGGTGCTTGCCAGGCAGGCTCAGTACCACTGAGCTGTATCCCCAGCCCCTGGATTTAAATTCTTAACATCTAAAAGTAAAATTTCAGACTTGAAGGTGAGCATTCCAGGTCCTGTGTGGTTCTTCAGTGCAGAAACTTGAAGGACTCTGACATGGTAACCAGCAGCATCGGGGTCCTGCGCTGGCTCCCCTCGGCCCAGCTGCACTGCAGCCCCTGCCTCTGCGGACGCCGCTGTGGCCCCCTCCCCCACTGCAGGCCCACCCTGGCCACCCTCATGTTAGAGCGGCCATGGGGCCAGACCAACAGACTGTGCGCAGTCATCATCCGAGTGGGTGTCACAGCCTTGTAAATGTGTCCTGTGCGTCAGCAAAGGGGTTACCAATTTGTATGTATTAAGACACTGCAGTTCCCCGTGGGAAGTAGTTTATTACTGTATTTAATTTGTTTCAGTCATGTAGCATGTTAGTCTATAGGCATTCATATAGCCAGGACTTCTGGCACACACCTACAATCACGACTACCAGAAAGGCTGAAGCGGGAGAGTCACAGGTTCAAGGCCAGACAAGAGAGTGTGGTGAGACCGTGTCTCAAACTCTAAAGAAATAGGTGTGCCTGGGCAGGTACCCGAGGACTGTAACTCGGTGGTCAAGTCCCCCAGGGTTCAATCCACGTGCAACCCAAAAAAAACTCAAGATCACTTCCACAGCCATTCCCTCTTTTTTAGTTTTGTTGTTTTTGTACTGGGAATCGAACTCAGTACCTGTGCTTGCTAGGCAGCTGCAAGTTCCACTGAGCTATATCCCCAGCCCATTCCCTCTTTTTCAAAGTACATGTTTTATTTTGAGGTAACTGTGCAGGGCTGGGCACCCCTCTGCCAGTCCCTGGGCAGGTGTCCAAGCTGTAAGCTCTTGTGATGGAGGTGACAGTAAGCTTCAGTCACTGGGACTTCCAGACAGACCCTGTGCTGTCCCAGGGGGGAGGCCTCGCCCCTCTCCGCTTCACATGTGCCCACAGTGGCACTGCTCGCCTGTCCTAGGCTGTCAGGTCCCCGGGCCAAGCCGCCCCACCCATGGCGCTTGTCCTGTGTCTGGACTCAGGATGCCACTTTCTCTTCTTGGCACCCTGGCTGCAGGAGAAGTCGCTCGTCTTCGAGTCAGCGTGGAAGAAGGAGAAGGACATAGTTTGCAAGGAGATCGAGAAGCTGCGCGCGTCCATCCAGACCCTGTGCAAGAGCACGCTGCCCCTGGGGAAGATCATGGACTACCTGCAGGAGGACGTGGACGCCATGCGGCACGAGCTGCAGCTGTGGCACAGCGAGAACAGGCAGCATGCCGAGGCGCTGCGGAAGGAGCAGAGGTGGGGGCGGGCACGCAGAGGGCAGGGGCTGTGGGAACAGCGCTGGGTCGGTGCGGGTGGGTGGGGGCTGCAGTCTGCGGGAGCCCGGGAGGAATCCCCTAGGGCACCCCCACGGCCGCTCTTTCCGGCCTCCTCCCCCAGAGGAGACCGGATGTTTCTTCTTTCACCCACCGCAGTCTGTAGTCTGCATTAGAAGAGGTGGGCTTCGCGGCCATACACACAATCCCTGCCGCTTTGTAACTGCTCACACTTTGAAAGTATCTTCACATTTACCCTAGAGGAAATGCCCATAAGTCCATCTAAAAGTGCAACTTTAAAAGAAACATAATACCCACTAAAAACTATCGTTTGTTTTAGGAAGTGTGCGATATCATCATTCAATCTGTAATCATGTAGCCATATCAACTCTTAAGTGTTTAAAAGTCCCTTAAAATGTGAAATGAACGATATGAAGGAAACTAGAAAATTAGCGGGAACTTACTGGTGCCTGTTGTCATGTGATAACTGGTTTTAAATATTAGGAAAAATCATGCCAGGCATTCCTTACAAAACCTGATTATGCTTTATGGTAGGATGGTTGAGAACTATTATTCTTATATTTTGGATTTTAGTTTTAATTTTAATTTGTGGACTTTAAAACCTAAAGAAAAAGGCTGATTTGGACTTGCTCTTTCCCAGGTAAATTTAGGCTTTGCCTTTTCAGGCTGACCGAGGTAGGGTCTCGGGTCACTGTGCTGAACCCTGAACGAGGGGACACCCCTGCAGGCAGGGAGGCCTCTTGGTGGTCGTGGTGGTCTCTGGGGGTGGGGAGAGGCCTGACCAGGTCTTTAGTGCCACTTGGCTCCTTGCTGTCCCTCTGATCTCTGTCGTATATAATGGAAGGACTTCACACCTACTGTTGAGGACACAGTAGCTTCTTTTTAAGTGAATCTCATTTGACCTCACTTTGGATCGTAGAAATCCGAAGTCCGCTTTGTATGGGGAGAGGGGCTTTCCCCTTCCTGGTACCAAGGGAGGTTCGTTTTGTGCCCTTTGTCCTGGGCTGTGGTCAGTGCCCTGCTCTTGCCGTCTTTGGGGTCATGGTTAAGAATTGGGTCTGTTGGGCCTCGAGACTGATGAAGCCCTCGTTTCCTGTCAGCATCACGGACAGTGCTGTGGAGCCCCTGAAGGCGGAGCTGGCCGAGCTGGAGCAGCAGGTCAAAGACCAGCAGGACAAGATCTGTGCCGTGAAGGCCAACATCCTGAGGAACGAGCAGAAGATTCAGAAAATGGTGTACAGCATCAGTGTGACGTCGCGGAGGTGAACACTCGGACAGCCGGTGCCCACCGGCATGAGCCTGAGCGGGTGACGGGAGGCGATGCTAATCTGACGTCGCGGAGGTGAACACTCTGACGGCTGGTGCCCACCGGCATGAGCCTGAGCGGGTGACAAGAGGCGATGCTAGGCAGGGGAAGCGTATTAAAGACCATGTTTTCTTACTTCCTTCGGGCTGGGGTCCTTGCTCATCACAGACAGCCTGTTCTTACCCGTCCCTGTCCCCATCCCGGTCCTTGGGCCGTTCCTGCCGCAGCCGGTGTGCCCTGGGCCGTTCCCTCCCGGGGAGCGGGGGACTCAGAAGAGGACTCTGCCAAGCAGAAGAGGACTGTGGGGTGGGTGGGAATTTCACAGGTGGAGCGGGGCCTGAGATGGTTACACTGGACCCTTAATTTCAGTGTGAAGGAGGTCCCTTTCAGCCGTAAATGCTGTGCTTCTCCTCTAGCTGCACGGACTTGCCTGGCGGGTGCCGCCGTCTCCCGCCTGTGCTTCCAGGTCTCACAGTTCACAGATGGACAGTGGAGGTTTCCCTGTGGCCTTCCTGGGAGATGCTGATGTGCAGCTATCACAAGCTCTTTCCTCACTTTCAGCACCGCGCCTGGGGTCCCCGGGTCCACACCAGCAGAGCCCCCAAAGTCTCTGAGAAGAGGATCTCGCTGTCCAGGCAGCGCTTTGCACAGGTGTTCCCGCAGGTAGCTCAGGGAAAGCCACCTGAGGAGATGGAAGAGGAGGCGCTGGATGACATTTTTTGATGTAACCCATTTTTTTTGAAAACGTTTTTTAAAGCAAAGCTTTTTTAAAGAAACATGGTTTATACTCAGTTTTTCACTTACATATAATATTGTAAATAGCTATGAAAGTCTTAAGTTATTGTGTAAAGGATTTCACTGTGTTAGGAGACACACTTAGGGGTCTTTAGGTCTGGGTCCTAGCCCTTCTCTTCTGGCTGCCATATTTATGACTGGGAACTAAGGCGCACCATGCGAAGTGTGAGCTTCTAGAGCGTTAGCACAAATGGCTCAGTTTGGTTTTTCTTGCTGTGTTCCCGAAATAAACCCTTTAGTGAGGAAGCGTAGAGTCTTCTAAACGGATAAAGGCAGGAGCACCGTCGAGAGCTGTTGTTTGGAGACATCGGTGTTTTCTTTTTCCTTTCTGTAAGCACCATACATTTCTGTCTGATCCGATTACACTGATATGGCTTGGGCTGGGGCAGGATTGTTAGCTAACTAGTCCTTCTCATCTTTATAGTTCTTTTCTGCCGAATTGAACGACTTAGCCATAACCCTGAAGTGGACCCTGTTTTGCCTCAAGTTGAGATACATGCCTTTTATGAATTTGTATATATGAATACATTTCTTGTTTTGGAAAATTGCACATATTGTATGTGAGTAAAATTTTGTATGAAGTAGCCTATCAAATTGTATCAAAGTTTATTTTTCTTTTATACATAAGTCATTAAAAATAATCACTTATTTTTTCTATGAGTGTATGGATTGTGCAATTCAGTTCACACATGGAAAAAAGCATAAGTATTTGGATTTTTAATTTTCAGTTGCGTATAAAAAAAGTATCTTTTCATTCATCTTGTGACACTTGCTGTTTTTCTGTAATAATTGAAGTTCTATAAGACAGGTAAACATTTACCAGAAATTTTAGGATCATTTATGAAGTTTTAGGAGGTCTCTATATGTGATTGTTAATGTATTTAATGATATCAAATTAAGTCCTAATCTTCCTATTTTGAGAAAATAGCTAGTGGAATTCTTAAGTAGATTACTGTAGTACTGTGAGTACTGGAGTCTTGAATTTATAAACTGAGCTGACACTAATTTGTCCAAGGAAATGTGTAAGACATTGGAAAAAAAGTTCAGTACTAGAATTCAAGCTTTCTGCATTGATCTTCATACAGATTATTTTCAGTATTTGACTTAAAAAAGCAGTGACTGGACACTGTGAAGACAGAAGGCATCCCTCGGTGACATAAGTGCGGTTTGGGGCTGGGGTGTGTCAGTTCCAGGCAGGGCTCTGGCGAGTGTACCGGAAGTGTCCCTGGGGTGCTTGTCCATGCCGCCCGGAGCTCACTGAGGTTGTCTTCTGTCTGTGAAGTTCCCAGCATTGTGGCACGGGGAGGGACAAGGAAAGGGTGGCCAGGACCATCGCTGGCTCTTGGACACAGCTCGTGTCAGATGGCAGCAGTGTCACAGTCTGCGTCTTCAGTATGCCCGAAGGCTCCTGCGTGGCACTGCAGGGAGGGGTTGGAAACGAGCTAGGTGTAGTTGGAGGAGGTGAGCTACGGGCGTGACTCTGAAGGGTTTGTCTTGTCCCTGGGCCCTGCTGCTGTCTTTGCTTCCTGGTCGCACGGAGGAGAGCAGCTTTGCTCCGCTGTTCCCTTCCGCCACAACCCCAGCCAGGTGTCTAACAAGGTGCTTTTGATGTTTGATCTGTTAGTTCAGCTGTCTCCATCCTGAGCACCGGTCGGGTATCTAATCCGCCGCACTGCAGAAAGTGTAGTTCTTGGACATTAGTTTTCTTAGCGTCTCCTGCTTTTTAATATTTTTCTGTGCCCCCAGAGGTATTTGCTTGTGTCAGAGCCAGAGAAATTTTGTGTAGATAAAAGTAGTGTTTAGTCTGTGATAGAAGGAAAGCGAGGAATAGATATGAAAATGTCCACTGTGACTGTGTTCTGGTGTAGACCTAGAAGGTCCCCGAATCTCAGGGGTTCAGAGGTGGGGCCTTTGAGATACCCGGGTCACGGGGGCTTCTGTGTCAGTGGAGGAACCCGCTGATGAGTCTGTCGCTGGCTGGCCGGTGGGATGAGTCACTGGGAATGCGGCTCTGCAGTGTGTATCCTGTCCCCGGCCCCTTCTCCGTTGGCATCTTTCCCTCTCTGCCTCCTGGCTGCCACGAGGTGGGCAGCTTTCTTCTGCCACGCCCTTCTACCACAGTGTTCCGGCCTGGAGCCGGCTGACCGTGGACTGAGTGCTCTGCAGCTGTGAGCCAGATTAACCTCTCCTCCTTCACTGTGTCTCAGCAGCAGAAGGACTAATACAGACCATAGTTTCATGTTTGGGGATCAGGATGGGAAGGGAATGAGGAAAAAAGAAAACGTCATTTCTTCGTTTTGGTGTAACAGTGGACAGTTCACTTTACTTTGAAAATTCCCCGCTTTGTATTCTGAGTCACCGCATTGGTCAGTCTGACTCCCTGGCTCCTGGCCTGCCCTGGAAACTGGGGATCTGGAGATGGAAGAAGCCAGAAAGAACCTGAGACATAACCTTCATGCTTGCAGTGGTGATTGTGTAAAAAAATGAGAACTTAGTCAGGTTTGTTAGTATAACATTGGCGTGGTGAATTACAAAATTCAGGTTTCCTTAAGAAGAAACCCCAGCAAGTTGGAGGAAGTAACCAGTTGTCAAACAGATGTTTCAGCTGATAACAAGAACCACTGGAAGAGTCTGAAGTTATGACTTCTCTTAAGACCATGAAAATTGGGTTCTATTTTCAAAATGCTCTTTTCCCCACACTAAGAAATGATGGTGCACAGACGGGACGGCCCCTGCAGAAAGTGACAGAAAGTGTCCTGTGTTTGAAGGTAGAAAGGCCAGCCCCCCTCAGGCTTGCTAAAAGCAATGGAGAATTCCCACGGGGGCTCCTGGAGAGGCAGCGCCAGGCGCAGCCCCATTGCAGCAGAGGGCTTCCTCCACGCCCCTGCCGCAGGCCCTGGGCTGTCAGCACGCTTCTATGGGTCCCCTGTCTTTGTCAGAAGTCGTGCTCAAAGCTGGGGCTTAAACTAAACAGATTTCCTAGAGGAAACACGCGCACACTCACACCCTGCTGAAGCTGCTTTTATGGACACTTCCCCCAGAAATACTGCTCTCTGGAAAAGTAAGTTCACAGGATGTAATTAAAGCCATTATGTGTGTGTTGGCCTGGGCCTTTCTTAAGTGCTTCTCCAAATGGCCACCAAATAAAGCCGTGAAGGATGGCTTTGTTCCCATCTCCTAACAATGATGTTTATTAATCGGGGCAGCGCGGCCCTCTGCCACTTTAGTCTCAAAAGTCGCCTTTCACTGAGTCCCTGCCTGGGAGGCCATAGGCTCCGACCCCAGGGCGACCTTTGCAGGGACGGCTGTGAGGGTGGCCCTGTGGCACCTGAGTGGACACGGCAGCTGCAGTGTCCAACACAGCCGCCTTGCGGGTGTGTTTCAGGCCTAGGACCTAGGAGAAAACACATTCCTGAGGGGAGGAGAATTCTGAGAGGAGTCCCACAGACGCCTACACAGGGTGACACTGCCGAGGGGGCTCAGGGGCCGTGTGGCCTTCTTAGACTCCATCCCTGTCTCTTCTGCTCCTTTGCGGAACTCTTCCTTCATCCCAGGGCCTTGCTGGGGGATCCCACTTGGGCTTGCACCCTCTCGTGTGGCCCTGTACCTGGGGCAAAGGGCGCATTAGCTGGGACTGACGGGGTGTGTGCGCATGTGCTGTGCGGGGTGGGGCTCTGTTCCTCCCGTAGATTTGGGCTGGAATTTCCCCCCCCAGTATTGGAGATGGAACCCAGGACTGTCACTCAAGCCCTGACCTTTGGTATCTTTTATCTTGAGACAGGGTCCGTGCGTTGCCCAGTCTGGACTTGGACTTGTCTCAGCCCTCAGTGCTGGGAACTGAGCTGGAACTTGACGCCCGTGGCGGGGCCGCTCACAGAGGAAGGCAGGTGTAGGGCTTCACAGCCTAGGAGCAGGGGGGCTGAAGGTCCTGGGTCCAGGTGCACCTGCATGCCATCCCGTCCTGGCCATTCTAGTCCTGTAGATGTCCGAGGCATGTGATGGTTGGATTTTCTGGGTCACTTGGCTAGGTCAAGTGCTGATTGTTTGGTCAAACACTAGGCTAGTATTGCTGCGAAGACGTTTTGTAAAGGGGATTCATGTCTGTAATCCAGTGACTTTAAGATCACTCTCAGTCATCCTGGTGGGCCTCACTTAATCAGTTGCAATCCGTAAGTGTGGAAGCCAGGGCTTCTTGGGCTGATGGGTGTCTGCCTCAGGAGGGATGCAGACGCCCTGTCTGAGCTGCTAGCCTGTGTACTGGTTTTGGACTTGGGACGACATCAACCCTTGTGTGAGTTTCCAGTCCTCCAGCCTTGGTTTAAACCCACCGGTCCCGCGATGGCATGAGTCAGTTGCCAAAACCTCTCTCTCCACGCTCACGCTGACTCGGTACTGTTCCCCTGCTGAACGGTGAACCTTACTGAGGAGCAGCCCGTGGCAGTGGCGCTGTCTCAGGGCCGTGTGTGTGCACCCCGTCTGTCTCAGCCTGTCTGTGTGGCCGTGTGATGTGCACCCCGGCCACCTCAGTCCCGCTTGTACCCCCATCCCACGTGGCAGGCAGGACTCCAGATCTCTCCCACTCTGTGCCCACGGGAAGAGGGGTTCTGGGGTGGGAGGGCCGTGGGGAGCTTGTTTTCTTTAGCTGGTCTGAGCCATGCCCGTTGGTCAGCACTGGGGGTCCAGAAGCCCCGGTTAAGCACACTGCTCAGGGCGGTGCAGGCCTGGGCGTCCTGCATGGAGCAGTGGTCGGCCGGATGAGCTGGCCACGGCAGGTGGCCCCCGGGGCTCCATCTCCAGGGTGTGGCCTGAGAGGCGGTGGAGTAGCTGTCTGAGCCGGGGGTCATGATGGGTCAGGCTGGTTGCTGGAGGGCTGGACACGGTCAGGAGCACAGCTGTGAAAGGACCAAGGATGTCTGTGTGCAGAGTGGGGCGGGGCAAACGCGTGGGTCAGTCCAGGCAACTGAGTGACACAGTAAACAGGGGGTATCTGAGGCTGCTGCCTCTGGGGAAGTTACACTGTCTGCTGTGGCTTAGGTCTCAAATGTCCCCGAGCCTCGCATGATCTCAGTGGGGCCTGGGAGGTGATTGGACCATGGAGCTACTAGCCGTATGCGGTGAGGCGGGGTCTGGTCGAGAGCGGTGGTCATGGGCGCCAAGGGTGCCTCTCCCCCTCTGGCTTACGTGGCTCACAGCTTCCTGTCCGCCACCCCCTGAGCAGCTCTGCTCCTCCAGACCCCTCCACAGAGCTGCTTCTGCCTGGAGCCACTCGCCATGCAAGGACTGAGGCTTCTGGAAGTGTAAGCCAGACAAGCCTCCCCTCTAGGTTGTAGATGTTGGGCATTGTGTCCCGGCCACCAGGAAAGTGACCAAGATGGGGTCTCACAGAAACTTTGGCTTTGCACAGGCTGGAAAGGGGTGTGCGGTAAAATAATAGCGAAACATACAGGAAGTACATTAACACCCAGGTGCTGCTTATCCCGCACACCTTGTGGCCTCTAAGCTCGTAGGCCTGCTCACCCCAGCACCGGACACGTGGTCACCTGTCGCTCTGTGGTGTTGATGTCACCAGGCAGCAGGGGTTTCCAGCTCCGTCATCATCTTAGTGACCGCCTCGTCAGCGCAGCCCGTCACACACTGAAACGCGGTTCTGTGCAGGGCTGGTGTCCCCTGCCGCACCCTCTCCTTGGGAAGGACAAGGACGTTGCTCCGTGCAGTGGCAGCTGGGGTCTAGTGCCGTGGGCTGGCCACCAAGCCTTCACGCGTGGCCTTTGAGGGGCGTTTAGGGTCCAAACCACAATAGGCCCCATGGAGATGCACGTCGGCAGGGCCCATTTCCCCAGTGGCTCTGCCCCACGGTTCTGGGCAGAGGCCCTGGCCTGCTGAGCTACAGGAAGAGGCCCCAGGAAGGGTGTGGGGAGGGGAGGAGCCTTGTGTGTATGCAGAGGCGTGCATGTGTGCCCGTGTGTGTGTGCATATGTCCCGAAGGGGGTGTGGGGGCTGGAAGCGGGGCGCCAGTGGGGTCCCCCGTAAAGGGCCCCTGATGCCCAGTGAAGGCACAGGGCAGGCTTCCGGGGGTCACTGAGGGCTTTGTGAGCCCAGGGACAGAGACCAACTACTGGAGCAGGAAAACTTCATTAGAGCTGGGCCTGGTGGCACACGCCTGTAATCCTGGCACCTGAGAGCCTGAGGCAGGAGGGGTGCTGAAAGTCTGGGGCCGGTGTAAACTGCACAGTGAGAGCCTGTCTCAGAAGAATTAAAAAATGCAAAGCACAGAACACCTCATGGGTGATGAATGTGAAGGGACAACAGCCGAGCCCTGCTGTGGAGGAGGAGGCCGCTGCAGAGGGCCGAGGACGGCGCATAGCGGGTGTCTTGCGTGGCATGGGGTGGCAAGAGGAGCGGCCTGCAGAGGGTATGTGGCCTCTGGGAGCATGGTGGCCGCCAACACCCTAGAGTGCTCCACTATGCCGGGAGGACAGCGGCCACCCACGGGGGGACATCTAGAAAGATGCAGCTTGGCAGGCTCCGGGGCAGCCCAGAGAGTGGCAGACCTGGGCCACCCTGTCCTGTGCTGTCCCTGGCTGCTGCTCCCTTGGTCCCCCTCAGGGCCTCCCCGGCCTGGCCAAGCCGCATCCGAAGTGGCCAGCGGGCTGTGTCCAGGCTTCGTGGGCGGAGGGGACACCACCCTCCTCCTGTCTCCCTTGTGCCAGGCGTGACGTGAGGACCGAGGCTGAAGGACACACAGTCCTGTGGGGAGGAGGGGGCAGGGCTTGGGCTAAGCATGGGCTGACCATGCTGGGCATCAGAGCGTGGGACACATCTCCAAACTCTCCAGACTGTGCCCTGCGGGCAGCCTGTAGGGGAGGAGTCTTGGGGAGGAGCCGTCCCGCTGGGGGCTCAGGCACCCATCACAAGATATGGATCCCACCTGCTGCCAGGGGCTGGTCAGAAGATTCCAGGGTAAAGCCCAGTCCTGTGGACTCCTGGGGACATCTGCAGTGTTCCCCTTTTCCTCTGAGGGACTCTTCCAAAAGAAGGGAGGGCTGAGGATGCCGGCCCCACGGCGGCGATACCGTCAGGCCCCTGCCTGGATGACACCTGCTGCGCGATCCCCGGGGACACCTGGTAGGGTGGAGTCCTCCCTGGCTGCAGCTGTGGGATGCAGGCTCAGAGCGCCCCTCCCACCCCGACCGTGTTCCCGGGCATCCCTGGCTCCCTGCTGTGGGGCAGAGCAAAGCAGGATGGGACCTCTTCCTGCGCCTCCTTGAGCATTTGTTTTTGTTATTAAAGAGACTAGAGTCTGGGGTGGGACCATCCAGGGACACTAGGCCATTTCTTTTGGGGACAAAGAGTGGACAGCTGTGGTGGAGACCTGAGCTTCCAGATGACAGCAGCAGGTGGTGGTGGCCTTCGTTTCGGGTGAGAGGAAGTGCCGGTGGAGGCTCCTCGCAGGCGTCACACCGGAGCCGCAGGGACACTGAGGACGCTGACGCTGAGACCAGCTCCATCGGGAGCTTTTTAAAAACCGTGGTAAAGTGTTCATAAAATCGAGCACTTCCGCCTTTCGCCCGAGCCTGGCTCTTCCAGGCCTGCTGTGTGGGGATTCAGCGGGCACTGCTGTGTCTGGCTCCCGTCACCCAGCGGGTGTTCTCCAGGCAGCGCGTTGCAGTGTGGATCAGAGGCTGGACCGCGGTGCTGCAGGGCTGCCCGTGCTGCTCCCGCTCAGCCGTCGGTGCAGGCTGGGTGGGCTGTTTTCAGACTTCGGTGTTTGGAGCGCTGGGTACAGCTGTGGCGCAGAGCTGGGGGGGGCGCACACCCAGTCCTGTCAGGCGGCGTCACCCGTGTCCTTATCAAGGCCCAGCACCACTGCAGGAAGCTCCCGCCCCAGACAGACACCCATGAGGCCCACCCAGGCTGGGGCCGTGGCTGGCTGGCTGCCACCCGGGGCTGCTTCTGGCGGTGGCGCTGTGAGAACAGAGGGCTCGGCCTCTTCCCCCGGGGCTTCCGGTGCCCACGTGAGTCCCCTCCTGCACGAGGGAGCCCACACCGGGACCCGCACTCCGCGCACGGGTTCTACCCTGGGGCAGTGTCAGAAGCCATGCTGTTGCTAGGTAGAGCCCGGTGCCTGGCTTCCCTGGACCCTGCAAGAAACTCCTGGTGGCAGAGGCAGGATCCACTCACCCACCTACCCATCTACCCATCCACCCATCCCTCCATCCGTCTGTCCATCCATCCATCCATCCATCCACCCATCCATCTACCCATCCATCCAGATTGAACCCTGAACCTTCTCACTGAGCTAATTCCCCTTTTTAAAACTTTTATTTCGAGACAAGGTCCCGCTAACTTGCCAAATTGCCAGGCTGGGTTCAAACTTGGAGATCCTCCTGCCTCAGCCTCCAAGAGTGCTGGGATTATAGGTAAGCACTACTGAGAGGTGCAGCAGCGTCTTTAGAGGGCGTGAATCAACGCTCCGCCTAAACCCGAGAGGCCACGCCCCCTATCTGGGGGCTGGGACGGATCCGACCAACCAGAGGTCCCAGGGCGTGCGAGTTAGCTCCGCCCCCAGGAGGGGCGCGATTTCCCAGACTCCTCCGCTTCTTACTTGAGAAGCCACAGCGGCCCTGGAACTGTCAGAGCGTCTTCGCGTTAAGGTCAGGCAGCGAGGCCGGAAGTGGGGACCTGGCGCCCCGCTCCGCACCGGAAGTCGCGCCCCCGACGGGGCCAGCCCCCTGCGGCTTCGGAAGTGGTCACGGGCCGCGCTACTTCCGGCGCGCGGTGGCCGGG